GGGATCAAATTAAGGAAATAATGAAATCTTCAGTAGGTAGTCAACCATTGAAGATTATTATTTGCACTAATCAAGTTAAGATGTTACAACTAAATCAAAGAATGGATGTTATCGCATAATATCATTCATCAACGGCAGGAGGACATAAAGGAATTACTAAAACTTACAAACGCATACGTCAAGACTATTTTTGGAGAAATATGAAGGACGATATTAGGAGATACATATTTACTAGCATGCAATAGTTGTCAAAAGAAAAAATTAGTGCGTAATAAGACACGCCAGCCGATGATAATCACTGACACATCACTCAACACATTCGATAAGGTTACTCTAGATCTCGTAGGACTTTTACCATACACTGCTTCCGGAAATCGCTATATCCTAACTATTCAAGATGATCTTTCAGAATATTCAATCGTACGTCAAGACTATTTTTGGAGAAATATGAAGGACGATATTAGGAGATACATATTTACTAGCATGCAATAGTTGTCAAAAGAAAAAGTTAGTGCGTAATAAGACACGCCAGCCGATGATAATCACTGACACATCACTCAACACATTCGATAAGGTTACTCTAGATCTCGTAGGACTTTTACCATACACTGCTTCCGGAAATCGCTATATCCTAACTATTCAAGATGATCTCTCGAAATATTCAATCGCTGTGCCGATAGGTGAAATGGATTCTAGTACAATAGCTGAGGCATTTACTAAAAAAAATTTTATTTGCCAATTCCGTACCCCTCAAACAATTTTAACGGATCAGAGTCGCAGTTTCATTAGTTCTTTTATGAGAGAATTTGCTAAGCGATTTCAAATCAAACAACTGTGAACCACTGCCTTCCGACCACAATTCAATGGATCACTTGAACGCTCACACCACGTCCTAGCAGATTATCTGAAACATTATACAACAGGCAAAGTCGAGTGGGACCAGTGGTTAGAGATGGCAATGTTTTCGTATAACACCAGTTATAACGAAGGAACAGGATACACTCCGCACGAGTTAATATACGATAGAACAGCACGTATACCATTAAGCTTCGCGTGTGAATCAGCTAAACGAACCTATAATGATCACCTAGAAAGCTTAATGGATGATCTATACAACTCTCGACAACGCGCTAGGGAAAATCTACAAAACGCTAAACAAAGATCCAAGAAATATTATGATCGAAAATAAACCCTAGAGAATTTAATCAAGGTCAATTCGTATTCTTGCTTAAAGGAAATGTAATAGGTAAATATGATGATCAATATTCAGGATCGTATGAAATTCTGGAAGTTTTAGAAAACGGGAATATCAAACTGAAAATATCAAGAACTAGAACAAAAATAGTTCATCCTAATTTAATCAAAATTGCCCATCAGGCAAATGAATAAAATCATAATATCAAATTACATACCCATTTCTCTGACCAGGTTACACAGGAACCATGGGGACTTACAGAAGTGAAATCGAACTTAGAGAACAACTAGATGAACTTTATCTAGAAGCTTTAGTTGACGTACAAGATCAAATATATAATCTACAAATGGATTTAATTGTCCTTGAGGATCTGGAGAAACAATTAAAAATTCAAGCACAACGTATACTTTTACGACAACATCTTGAACATCTGTGGTGGGAAGAATATGATGATTCACCTCTCGACTTATTTTTCTTGCACCGGCTCTTCAGGGAAGATAACGCTGAAATCGAGGAGTACGAAGAAGATGATAGCATAGGTTGGATAGACTGGAGAGGTTACGGTAGCAATTGGGATGAAAATTAAAAATGGAATTCACACTCATAAAATACAAAAATTCACAATCACAGATTTACAAGTGATATATGATTTATTAAAGAAAAGGAGTTATTATAAAAAGTTATTATAAAGGTTGTTATAAAATATCTATACATTATCATATTATGAAAGGGTACATTAGAGGGTTCTATTTAGGGCCCGGGTTCCCCGGATCAATTAGGCTCTCTGAAGAGACATGGTGGCCCGAACCCCTGCCAATGGATGCGAAGGGCATTGTTCGTTCCTTAACTTCTTTTACTTCATAAGTGGGAATTAATGTATAGAGCTTCCCATCAACGTCGGAAAGAAAAACGTACTCAGGGCCGTGTTCTTTCGCTTCTTTGAGATTGGCGAGCAACCTCGCCAGGCGGACAGGATTTTGGTTAGCCCATGTTGCGGGTATTTTAATGTTTGCCAATTCATTCAGGCACTATGTAATAGAAAGAAGAAAGAATCACATCAAAATTATTCTCAAAATTAATAAAAATAGAACATCACTGTAGAACACCATTTTCACTAGATTATAAAATTAAAGGGTACTTACTGCGTTCATATTACTTCGTTCCATCTTTTCTTCTCTTTTCTTTTCTTTACTTTACTTCGCTGGTTTTGAAATGATCCCGGGGTCGCAGTTCACAGTTAAATGAGCACTCAAGCAAATTCACGGACCAAGAGACAATGGATCCCTTAGAAATTTAGTAGAGGGGATGCAACGTCACAACCCTTTTGACCAATCATCTTTTAGGAAGATGTTTAAAATTCTTTAGATAAGAACAGCCAATGTTTCAAAATAAAGATAATGTGGGTTACAGCGAATACCCGTTCCATATCATATCTTACTCTGCATGAAGACATAATACATACCACTCGAGATCCCTTCCACAAATACTGACCTAATCTATCTTAAAGCGTTAAATGCTTATCTTCTCTGGAAAGGTAGTATATTATATTATAATATCAAATTACATACCCATTTCTCTTACCAGGTTACACGCGAGCGATGGGAACTTACAGAAGTGAAATCGAATTTAGGGAACAACTAGATGAACTTTATCTAGAAGCTTTAGTTCACGTACAAGATCAAATGTATAACCTACGAATGGAGTTAATAATTCTTGAGGATCTGGAGAAACGATTAAAAATTCAAGTACAACGAATACCCGTCCTATATCATATCTCACTCTGCATGAGGATGTAATATATACCACTCGAGATCCCTTTCACAAACACTAACCTATCTTAAAGTGTCAAATGTTTATCTTCTCTGAAAAGTAGTATATTAAATTATTTTAAGGGGGAGAAGCGGGTCAACCAAATTGGATTATTTGATGGCAGTTTCAAAATGCATCACCATCAAGATCGTACTTTTCTCAATTGGGATTGTCCAAGCCCTCATAGCTTACGACTGCAAGGGGAACAATCTCAACATTACTACGTTATCACTATTAAAAATAGGAGAATGCGATATTCCTTCCGTCCAACCAAAAATCCAAAATGTCGATATACAACTCTTACAATTGACCGACTTTACTACGACTGAAGTAATACAATGCAAGATAGTAATAGATCGCGATGTGTTACATTGTGGTATGCATTCTCACAATTCTGCAGTCGCCTTAGGGAAAATGCAACATCTACATGAAATTTCGCGTGAAGAATGTCATAAAGTACATTAAACAAGAACTTACCAAATTTCTTCAAATAATTACATCATTCTCACATTTCTGCAGTCGCCTTAGGGAAAATGCAATATCTACACGAAATTTCACGTGAAGAATGTCATAAAATACATCGAACAAGAGCTTACCACATTTCTTCAAATAATTACATCACAGGATTGTCTTTAAATGGAACATCAACGCGTCCAATAATTTTTGCCGGTACAATCAAAACAGATGGATCTTGCCAGGGTATTCAATATTCCGATCCTTATGGCTCATGGTCTGATGTCATAGTTCAAGGCACAGTTAAAATATCACTATACAATTTCTATGCTATCGTGAAATTAAATGCTAATACCATTAGCATGCCTTCTGGTAAAACATGCACGCTCACAGCTGCAGCTTGTCCAGATGATGAAATGGGAAATTCGTTTTGGACCCCTATACCAAAAGACGATTGTCACTATAAACGCTATACAGTACTTTTTGAAGGTAGAGCAACACTTCTCCAAAATAATTCTACTACTGTCAGCCGATACAACAAGGAAATCTACACATTGAATCAAGAGGACTTCACCTTTGCATTGGCAAAAAGAGGGGAACGTAAGATCTGTGGTTACACCTTGATTGAAACTGAACATCCAAAGCTTTTCATAGTGGACAGTCGAGCAGATGGAACATTTGCAAAGAAGACATCAATCGATACTACCAACATGGACATATTTACGTATGTAAACTCTAAATTTGTTTATGTTGAAAAGCATATAAATCAACAGCCTACAACAAGTAATGGAGAGCGCCTTAGTCTTAGCTGTGGTGGCTCCTGACGAATTCGCAAAGACTATCATGGTCCATTCCGGATACATGGTTGTCGCCGCCGGAGAGCTTATTCACATTATCAAATGCATACCGGTAGAAGTAAAAATACGTCACACGACAACTTGTTACCAGCAACTATCTGTATTCAGAGGAAACAGCAGCTATTTTGTGACTCCAAGAACGCATATGCTATTATCAACCGGAACAGAGATTGATTGTAACGATATTGTCCCACCTATGTATCTAATTAATGACATTTGGTATAAATTCTTTTCACAGCCCAATAGAGCTATGGAACCAATTTATTTAAAAACAGATTCTGAACGTACTTGGGAGTACACTAGCATATCATGTTTCCAGCCGAAAAACCAGCTGTTCTCAGCAACGTAGCTCGAGGATTCACCGGACATGGAACAGGGACGCAAGGAATGTCTATATCGCATTTCCTGAAAGGAACAGTTGATACTTCAAATAATTTTACAGAAGCTGGAAAGCATCAAACTTTTTCTAAAAATTTAAATATTAATACTGATGGAATATATCATTTACTTTTGCTATATTTTCTACTTGTCTTTATTAATTCATAAGTAAAAATAATATCTGTTTTAAACAAATCTCTTTTAACTGGTTCTAAAATTTTAATTTTTAACATACTAATATTTTTAAAATAACTACTATTTAAACCTAAAATATTGTTTTTGAATATGTTGTAATTTAGCAATATTATTATTAGTAATGTGTCATTATTTTTTTATGAATTACTGGTAAATATACAATATAGATTTTTTTATATATTTCCATAATAAATATAACAGACATTAATTTAAATTTGGATGCTTTTGAAATTGTAAAACCCAATAAACAAGAAAAAAACTATATTAAAAAAATGAATTAAATAACAATAACTTTAAAACATTTTTGAATTTGATAAGTAATTTTAATTTTATCTTTATTATAAATAATACCATCACCAACAACAAAAGCAAAATTAGTAGATTTATCAATAATTCTAATATTTTCAGTATGAAATTCATGATTTAAAATAAATAGTTGTGATTTTAGTTCATAATGTGTAAGTATTGTTCCTCTATGTAAAAAATGCTTGTAATTCAGTATTATTATGTGTAATTCCCAAAGGTAACAGTAAAGTATTCACAATCTCACTTGCACCGGCAATACTACCTATGAAAACAACTAATCATATTGAAGAAATACAAGAAGCACCATTTACTAATGAAACTGCAAGATTAATTAATGATAATAGATTCATAATTAATAGTGAAACAACTAGTCAATATGGCAGTGATAATATGAGCAAAGTACCATTAAACTGAGATTATAATCACATTAGTTTATAAATAAGTAAAAATGTCTATTCCTTTTACTTCATATGGTTTTCTTTTTTTATGACTTTTTCAACATCAAATAAGACAAATAAAACCAAAAATTACTGCTAATGATATACCAATAGGTATACCAATTTTTAACTGCCAACCATGAAATTTGATTAATAATAATAACATAAGTTTGATTATTTAATGTTTTAACAAAAATATTAGTTGAAGATTTATCCTTATTTTCTTGACTATTTAATAATTTTATTTCTTTTATTTCATTAGTTAAATCAATTGTTTTTAATATAACTGATTCATTTTCAGAATTAAGATTTCTTTCAATTATTCTAACTGGCATTTGAAAAAAAAAAGTGAAAAACTTATAAAAGAAAAAGAACAAAGATTGACTATTCATTTATCTAGTTATCAATCTATAGAGAATATGCTTGGCTATTAGACAAAACTTATAGCATTATTATCGTATCATTTTATAGTAGAAATAATATATTAGGTATGAATTGAAAGTTTTAAATGTTTTTGTATTGCTTTTCATAATTACTATCTTTTGTTAATAAAAATCTCAGATATTCCTGGATTCGATGTCAAGGTTCATGCATCTTCCGGAATATTCCTTAGCCCTCCGACGACGACGACGACGACGAAGTTGCGTCGCGCGCGCTTACGAGTAATTAGACACCTCGGGGGGATGAGGGACCGCATTCTCGACGCACGACTCTGCGAGATAACGTTCGGTATTGCGCATTCGAACAACCGATA